GGTTTTCATATGGAGACCTTTTCGGGTACTGTAACGACAGGATTTCTCCCCTTGAGCTAGAATAGTTCGTCGGGGTCCATGGGTTCGTACAGATATTTTATTTATTGAGACAGAAAGAGAACGGCAGTGGTTTACGTTTTTATTTATGGTGGAACTTAAACTATATATTATAACAACTATCCTACTCGTCATCGGTCCGGGATTGGTGGTTCTTCCACTCGAGACCTGGATAAGTACTCAAGGAACGGGTCAAGGATACAGGATTAGGGTGTTCAGGATTCGGGATGGATTCAGATCGAGAGACCTGGATAAGTACTCAAGCAGGCTACAGGATATTCAAGGATACGGCTGCAAGAGATCTTACGCTACAAGGATCTAGGATACTGCTGCAAGAGACCTTAATAAATACTCAGGCACTGGATATTCAAGGATACGGATGCGAGAGACCTTAATAAGTACTCAAGCACTACAAGGATCTAGGATACGGTTGCAAGAAGCCTTAAGAAGTACTCAAGCACTATAGGATATTCAAGGATACGGTTGCGAGTACTGGATATGGTTGCGAGTACTGGAATTAAGTACTCAAGCACTACAAGGATCTAGGATACGGTTGCAAGAGACCTTAATATATACTCAAGCACTACAGGATATTCAAGGATACGGTTGCGAGAGACCTTAATAAGTACTCAAGCACTACAAGATATTCAAGGATACGGTTGCGAGAGACCTTAATAAGTACTCAAGCACTACAAGGATCTAGGATACGGTTGCAAGAGACCTTAATAAGTACTCAAGCACTACAAGGATCTAGGATACGATTGCAAGAGACCTTAATAAGTACTCAAGCACTACAAGGATCTAGGATACGGTTGCAAGAGACCTTAATAAGTATTCAAGCACTCCAGAATATTCAAGGATACGGTTGCGAGAGACCTTAATAAATACTCAAGCACTACAAGATATTCAAGGATATAGTTGCGAGATACCTTAATATGTACTCAGGCACTACAAGGATCTAGGAAACGTTTGCAAGAGACCTTAATAAGTACTCAAGCACTAAAAGGATCTAGGAAACTAGGACTAAAATAGACTATATATACTAGAAGGATATTCCAGGGTACCACCGCGATGCGAGCATTAAAGACCTAGATGTCACTTACTGAAGCTGGTGTTGTCACGTTCACAGTCTGGCACTGACTGTCACGATTCTGCCATCGACTGCCCTTTTATACCCGGCTCCACCACATGTTCGCAGTTGAGAAACGGGAATTTGTTAACAAAATGTGGTTATCTCAACAACATCATATGTACTCATCACCGCCAATGGTAGTGATGAGTGGACACTGATCTGTTGTTGCGATGAAGGTTCACCCTTATTAAGTGTGGTTGTTCGCAAGAATTTGACTGGGAAAATTGCAATTTATCATAGCATTTTGTGTGGGCAAAAATGACGAAGAATTTTTGCCGTCCAATCTTTAATAATTTAATACCCTCCTCGGTAAACTTTAAACTGAAAGATTTTTTGGCCTAAAAGGTAAACATTTTTTTATTCCTTCCAAAAAGTAAAAACTTGAATAATATATTAAACATTGAAAATTTGCAAAAATGGTACGATGTAAAACATTTTAATTAAAAGTTTTTGTCAAAATAAAAAAATGGCTCATTTTTAGTAGTAAATATTCCTTACACCCACTGTTAGAAGAAATTTAAAACTTTAAGGTAGAGAAATCATTTGAAAATAATAATTCCAAATGTTTTTTTCAGAAAAAATTAATGCAGTCCAAGAGATGCTGTATTGTGTGGCACAACACTGTGCAATTCTTCTCTTTATGTGTTGTTATCACTGAACATACCCAACATACAACTAATAGATTATAATTATTAAGCATACTTTTAGGAGGAACGAGTAATTTGTATATTCTTAAAGATATTTAAATTTGTTGATATTATTTACATTCTTTACAAAAAAATTACATTCTTTGTATATGCATTATAAAACAATATTTAACATTTTCAGCACTTTCATAAATTTACTAAATAAGATGACATTTAAGGTCTTATGAAAAATACAGGGTGTCTATCGCATGTTTGTTTTAAAAAATACAATCCCACATTTCTACAATTGAATATAATCTTAATAATACGCATTCTAATGGGCGCCTCGAAATATGGTACACTAATACACAGCCTATCATAGAATATTATAAGATAATTTGTATCCGGTTAAATTTAGTGTGGCACACAAATTAATATTTTTGATGCATTTAACTGTGTATACAGAAAATAACAACGAAAAGATGGGCTTTTTGATAGAACTTTAAGTGGTTACTACATTTTTGGCGATTACACTGAGTGGAATCCCGCTATACTTCTCTGGATGTGTAGAAAATTGTCAATCTTAATTATCATTTTGCTTACACAAAAATAACATACATGCATTCATACCTGAACTGAAATCTGACTTAGAATTTAATCGTGAGAGCATTAAACAAGTGAAAAGACATTAAGTTCGACCGGGCCGAAACTTTAATACCCTCCACCATTAGGTAAAGAAAACCTTCAAAATTACGAATATCGGAAGGTTATGTTAACGTGGACCGATATGTCTCATTTTCAATACCAACCATTCTATACACAATACAAACAACTGTAGCAAATTTTAAACCTCTACGATTATTATTATTATATTTGTTCACTACAACACTATTTGCTATACCCTCCACCATACATAGTATGAAGGGTATATTAAGTTTGTCATTCCGTTTGTAACTCATCGAAATAATAATTTTTGGCCCAACTAAGTGTATATTTTCTTGATCAGCGTAAAATTCTAATTTAGCCCTGTCCGCCCGTCTATCCGTCGACGAATTAAAATAGGAAGCTAAAATTTTGCACAGATCTGTCTTTTGTCTGCAGGCAGGTCAAGTTCGAAGATTGTCTATATCGGTCCACGATATCATATAGCCCACATATAACGGTACCCCCGATATTCGGTATTTTGATGAAGTAAGCCACATTTTCCAATGGAATTGTCCGGAATTCTTCATAAGGAGTTATTTGTGAGTACTTTACCCCTGACAGAGAATTGTCTATATAGGTCCACGATATCGTATATTCCCAATATAACGATACCCTCAGAAATTCGGTATTTTGATGATTTAAGCCACACTTTTCAATGGAATTGTTTGAAATTCTACACAAAGAGTTCTTTGTAAGTACTTTACTTCCCGACAGAGAATCGTCTACATAGGTCCACGATATCGTACAGCCCCCATATAACGGCACCTCTCGATATTCGATATTTTGATGATTTTAGTGACATTTTTCTCTGAATTGTCTATATAGGTCTATTATATCGAATGGCCCCATGCAACCGTACCCCCATATCCGGTATTTTTATGATTTCAGCCAAATTTTTCAATGGAATTGTCTTAAAATCCACACAAGGGGTTCCTTCTGAGAATTTTACCCCTTAGAACAGAATTGTCTAAATAGTTTCACGGATATTTGGTATTTTCATGATTCTAGCGACATTATTCACCGCAATTATTTAAAACTTCGTATAAAAAGTTCGGAACCGTTACTATACCCCATTACACAAATTACTTATGCAGGACCACGTCTTCGTATAGCCCCCATATAACGGGTTTCATTCGAGCGGTATTTTTCGACAAATTTTTTTGGAATTTGTTCAAGTTTCTTTTAAATGGTGGAGGGTATGTAAAGTTCGGCCCGGCCGAACTTAGCTGCTTTTTTACTTGTTAAGGGTATTATAATGAAACATACAAAAACAATGAATGAAACATTCCGAAATATTGGTCCCAGACGTAGAAAGTAATATATGAATCTTTCTATTTCGCCGAGATGAGCCGCTCTAGCTATGCATATCCATGTTAATTTGTAATCACGCTACAGGTCGAAATTATGCCCGATCCTCACGAAATTTCACATGTAGATGTGGTTGAGGTCAGAATAGAAAACTATTATTTTAGGAGATGATCGCAAAATATTTACGTTGATATGGACAGAAGATATTCTTGATTTTGAAGTTGTTCTAAAGATTCCAATCAAGGACTGTTACGTTGATGCTGATATCCTTGATATTGCATATATAGCAAAAAATATACAATCTCTTATATCAAAGAAGTGTTTGGTTTAGCGAACCTTTTAACTCAGAAATGGTGGGACGGATTTCGACATTTCTCACCAATTCAGAATGCTCTTTGGCGGAAAATACAAAATCCAGAAAAATCGCATAAAGAGTTCTTAGTAAAAATGTGAATTTTTTCTATAATATTTTGTGATACATTTATTTTTTTGTCTGATTTTTTTTAATCCGTCGGAAGTGCCAAAATTTAGTCTATTAGGGCTGATATTAGTCATTTGGTGCATAATAAACTCGCAATCGGATAAAGATATATATGTAAGCTATATTCAAATCTGAACCGATCTTATCCGATCTTGACAAAATTTTGACGGTGGTATTTCCGGGCTGTATCAGGCATCTGGAACCAAAGATCATTGTTGTAGAGTGCATATTGTGCATTTTATGGACTCAAAAAACACAATCTGATGAAACATACAGATGGGATGTGCCAAAATTCAGGTCATTTCGACACATATAGGCCATTTGGTGTACAATTAACCCGAAATATATATGGGAGCTATATAAAAATTTAAGTTCATTGTCACCAATTTCAATATGGTTCGTCCTTGGGCCAAAAAAATATTGTTTGAAAAGTTACATCTGAATCGGGTAATAGATGCGAACTGCAGGCCCTCGCTTCGAGGCCCTCGAGTAAATTTTCCAAGTTCCATACCTTTTTTCTTCCAGAGAATAGGAGGATAGGATAAGTAAGAACTCTATATTTTCAAATCTATTGTATTATCCTTTATTTCGATGATTTACAAAATAAATCTCGTACTATTGCAAAATGTTCGATTCTTCCGCAAAAAGTGGAAGTCATAATAATTGAGCTATATGGCATTGTTTTTATTTTATTTTAAATAGTCTCACAGTCTAGAAACGGCGGTGACGACGGATGACACGACGACGGTTGGTCTTGTATTTGTAACCTTCAGCCGAGGAGAAGGTGTGGGCAGGCTCAGAGGCACCAGTTTCATAGGATTCAGAGTAAGAAGCAGCTGGGGCAGAGTAGGAAGCAGCTGGGGCAGAGTAAGAAGCGGCAGCTGGGGCAGAGTAGGAAGCGGCAGCAGCTGGAGCAGAGTAGGAAGCAGCTGGAGCAGAGTATGAAGCAACTGGAGCGGAAGCAGCTGGGGCAGAGTAAGCGTATTCACCAACTGGGGCAGAAGCAGCACCTTGAACGGGAGGCAAGTATTCAGCACTGACATCACGACGATGACGGCGACGGTAGACAACACGACGGTTGGTCTTGTATTTGTAACCTTCAGACGAGGAGAAGGTGTGGGCAGGCTCAGAGGCACCAGTTTCATAGGATTCAGAGTAAGAAGCAGCGGGAGCTGCGGCTGCTGGAGCAGAGTAGGAAGCGGCAGCAGCAGGAGCAGAGTAGGAAGCGGCAGCTGGAGCAGAGTAGGAAGCGGCTGCTGGAGCAGAGTAGGAAACAACGGCAGCTGGGGCAGAGTAAGAAGCAGCTGGAGCCGAGGCTTGGACTGAGTAAGAAGCAGCAGGAGCAGCTGGGGCAGAGTATGAAGCTTGAGCTGAGTAAGTAGCAGCAGGTGCCGAGTACGAAGCTACAGGAGCTGAGGCAGCAACAGCTGGAGCCGAGTAGGATGGAGCTGGTGCCGAAGCGTGAGATTCATGGGGTGGCAAGTATGAGCTGCTGAGGTGGCTGACATCGGCTGTAGCCACAGCTACCAAGGCGAAGAGGGCAACAAAAAGTTTCTGGAAAAAGTTCAGAAATTTCAAAATTAGAAATTAACACTTCAACACATAATAATAATAATTTTGATTGTTTTTTTTTTATTAACTTTCTACTAACCATTTTGAGTGGGCTTATCTCTGATCTGCTTTAGAATCCAAGAGAAAATGATACTCTATTCGATGGCGAGGGTGCACTTATATACCAAAAAAAAAAGAAACGGTGGCCAGATTTTAATTTGTTAATTCTAATTTCAATTTACTCATAATTAGTTATGATTTGGCATGTGTGCACTTCGTTTCGTTTCGTTTAATTTCTTTTGTTTAATTTTATGCAGTCTACAGGTTTTCTGTTTCCTTTCTATTGCAACCTGAAGGAAGTAGAATAAATGAGTCTCTCAAAAATCTTGTTTCAAACCCTGCCCTGCTAGCATTGTTATTGTTGTAGATCAGCGTAAAAATAGCCATATAGCCGGTCAGTTTTCCAAATCAATGCAATTTTTCAAAAAAGAAGAAGTCGCGAACGAAATGAATAGCGGTTTTTGTTATTTATTTATGGTTTGTTTCCATTCTATTTTAAGAAAAAAAAATTAAACACGATTTTGAATAGTTGCTCGGTTTTCTTTTTATGCAATGGTTATTGATGCCTGATCCGTCACATTGAATTGTTTATGTTGAGATATTGAAAAAAAAAAAAAAAAAAAAAAAAAAAAAAAAGAATGGAAAGTGAGTCAAACACATCGATGGAGCCCAATATATATTGGTCCATTGATTGAGAAGAGTGTTTCGTTGAAGTAAGAAGTTTAAGATAACCCTTGGAGACAACAACCATTAAAAATCATACATAGCTCTATAATATATAATCAAGCGACTCCAAGGGGTCCTTGGGAACCACATAAAAATAGATCTAAAGGCTAACACCTCATCTTGTATCTTAGAACATAAAATCGCAGTTTTAAATCAATTAATGACGAATAATAAAATCAACTTTACATAGTTTTGGAAATGGTGTTTTGATGGAAGCAAACAGCTGAAGTCCAGGAGAATAGTTTGTGACATCGTAAACGCCTTAAAATTGTTTTCATCAGAGACAGATTTATGAGAACCCACAGTAATTTGTCAAAAATCAGCTTCATTTATCAACTCGGCATTGCAAAAAAATTGGGTTCAGTTCAGTTGATCAAAAAAAAACAACAACGGACACACAAGCCAACACTGATCAATTAATAGACAAGGCACGGTCGACGAAGGGGTTTTTGTTGTAACAGACAAAACCAACTTACATGGTTATGCTACTTCTTTGAACGAAATCATAACAAGTGGAGAAAGATGTAAATGTTTACAAATGCGGTTGTAAGATTTAGAAGACTTTCCAAAAGAATTTTAGTTTTATTTAATTCTTTGGTTCCTCTTCTATAGAGCTTACGATCTCGTCACTTGGGTAAAAAAATATTTTTGTCATAGAAGTTATTTTTAAAAAATAACTTCTGGGGAGAATATCCCAGACAAAAAACTAGGGAACTGATGAGGATTGGTGGCTTTTTCCGAAACCTAGGTATTCCCTGCCTTACCTCCTGGTAAACATTGCCATCGATCTCCACTAATAAACAAACTTAGTTTCTATAAAAACGGCAATAAAGGATAAAGCCTGACAATGTTGCAACAAAAAAAAAAAAAAAAAAAAAAAAAAAACAAGTAAAAAAGCTGTAAGTTCGGCCGGGCCGAACTTTTAATACCCTCCACCATTTGGTACAAATTTGGCAATTTCCAAAAAAAAAAAAAAAATAAATAAATAAATAAATAAAATAAAAAAATCCTTTAAAAATTCTGTTAAAATCTTAAAAATACCGAATGTCTATACGACGACGTATACCTGCATAGGCAACTTTTGTCATAAGTTATTACAACATTTAAATGCGAAACTTGAAGAAAAATTTGTTTATAATGTAGCTAAAATCATCAAAATACCGAATATAGGGGGTACCGTTATATGGAGGCTATACGAAGACGTGGACCTGCACAGACAATTTTCTGGCATGGGCTGAAGTATCCATTACGAACTTCAAATGCGAATTTAAAACAATCCCGGTAAATAATGTCGCTAAAATCATCAAAATACTGAATATCGGGGGGTACGGTATATGGGGCCTATACGAAGACGTGGACCTACATGGTCCATTTTCTGTTTCTGCTGCAGTATCTATTACGAACTTCAAATACCAAATTTGGAACGGTTCCGTTAAATAATGTCGCTAAAATCATCAAAATACCGAATATCGGGGTGGTACCGTTATATGGGGGCTATACGAAGACGTGGACCTGCACAGATAATTTTCTGTCTTAGGCTGTAGTATCCATTACGAACTTCAAATGCCAAATTTGAAACAATTCCGGTGAATAATGTCGCTAAAATCATCAAAATACCGAATATCGAGAGTTACCGTTATATGGGGGCTATATGAAAACTTGGACCTACATAGCCCATTTACGAACTTAACCTGCCTACTGGCAAAATATACATGTGTGCAAAATTTTAGCCTTCTATCTCAATTTGTTCGAAAGATAGCGTGATTACAACAGACAGACAGACAGACAGACAGACGGACAGACAGACAGACAGACAGACGGACATGGCTAATCGTCTTAGAATTTTACGCTGATCAAGAATATATATACTTTGTTGGGTCTGACGTGAGTATTTCGAGGAGTTACAAACGGAATGACAAAATTAATATACCCTCCATAGTATGGTGGAGGGTATAAAAACAAACAAAAACCAAATAATAATAAATAAATAAAAAATGCCTCAGCCGAAAGAAAAATGTCTTAGTTTCTAAATAAAATTAAATTCTATGTGCATATGTAAAGTAACGTTCGGTAATAATAAGAGGGAGAATTCATAGGCTGTAGTATCCATTACGAACTTCATCTACCAAATTTGAAACAATTCCGTTAAAAAATGTCGCTGAAATCAGCGAAATGCCGAATATCGGAATGTAACGTTATATGTGGGCTTTACCAAGACGTGGACCTGCACAGACAATTTTATGTCTTAGGCTGTAGTATCCATTACGAACTTCAAATACGAAATTCGAAACAATATCTCTTAAATCATTAAAAAACCGAATATCGGGAGGTACAGTTATATGGGGGCTATACGAAGACGTAGACCTGCACAGAAAATTTTCTGGCATAGACTTACGAACTTCAAATGCGAAATTTAAAACAATTCAGGTAAATAATGTCGCCAAAATCATTAAAATACCCAATATCGGGAGGTACAGGGGCTAAATGAAGACGTGAAGCTGCACAGACAATTTTTATCATAGGCTGTAGTATAAATTATGAACTTTAAATAATAAATTTGAAATAATTTCGGTGAATAATGTCGCTTAAATAATCAAAATACCGAATATAGGGAGGTACCGTTATATGGACGTTATACCAAAATGTGGACCGGCAAATACAATTTTCTGGCATAGGCTGTAGTATCCATTACGAACTTCAAATGCGAAATTTGAAACAACATCGCTTAAATCATTAAAAAACCGAATATCGGGAGGTACAGTTATATGGGGGCTATACGAAGACGTAGACCTGCACAGAAAATTTTCTGGCATAGACTGTAGTATTTATTACGAACTTCAAATGCGAAATTTAAAACAATTCAGGTAAATAATGTCGCCAAAATCATTAAAATACCCCATATCGGGAGGTACAGGGGCTAAATGAAGACATGAAGCTGCACAGACAATTTTTATCATAGGCTGTAGTATAAATTATGAACTTTAAATAATAAATTTGAAATAATTTCGGTGAATAATGTCGCTTAAATAATCAAAATACCGAATATAGGGAGGTACCGTTATATGGACGTTATACCAAAATGTGGACCGGCAAATACAATTTTCTGACATAGGCTGTAGTATCCATTACGAACTTCAAATGCGAAATTTGAAACAACATCGCTTAAATCATTAAAAAACCGAATATCGGGAGGTACAGTTATATGGGGGCTATACGAAGACGTAGACCTGCACAGAAAATTTTCTGGCATAGACTGTAGTATTTATTACGAACTTCAAATGCGAAATTTATAACAATTCCGTTAAATAATGTCGCCAAAATCATTAAAATACCCAATGTCGGGAGGTACCGTTATATGGGGTCTATACAAATTCGTGGACCCCCATTTTCAATAATAAAAGTCCTGCAAGTTTTATACACTTGGGTGAAATTTTAACAATCTATCTCATTTCGTTCGGAAGCTAGAGTGATTTCAACAGACGGACAGATGGATAAACGGACGGATATCGCTAAATCGACATATAATTTTATGCTGGTCAAGAATTTATATACTTTGTAGGGTTTAAAATGTATATTTTGTGGTTTTATAAACGGAAACTCCATACTATGGTTTAGGGTATAAAAACAAGTTAAAAGTATCCGTCGATTTTGCCGGCAGATGTATGTATACCATCAGCCAACGTTCGATTATTTAAACATATTTTGTCTTTTGTTACGATTATACAAATTGTCGATACCCTATGGAGCAAGTTCCGAAGGAATGGACCAATATTGTCCATTTCTTATCGGACCTAAATAAATATGATATAAATATTGCAACGTTCCAGGTTTGGACTATATTGATTATTTTCTTCACTTTATATGAGATATGTGATAATTTTTAGAAAATGTTAAAATGTGCCTGAGGTACCAGAGATAGTGGACCGAAGTATTCAATTTTCATACTTCATCTAATACAGTTAAAAATTATTCTTTCTTTGAGTGTTTTGTTTTTCAAAATCTTGAACCCTATGTGGGGGATGTAACAGAAGAAATGATTAGATCTCCACCATTTTTGTAACAGAACTTTTGTTGATGGAAATATTGAGATGTTCGAATGGAATCGGATGTTAATTTCGCGTTTTATGGCTTTCGTGGATATTCACAATGTTGACCCTTTGTGGGGAAGGTACCAGAAGGAGTGGATCGATATATCCTATCGATTGAGAGATATTGGGATCTGTGAAATTTGAAGGGAATTGGATGCTTACTTCGCATTTATAATTCTTTTGGTCGTTCCAAATTGTGACCTTTTGTGGGGGAGGTATCAGAAGGGATTCGCAGTTATATATCATATTCACAAGATATCTTGTGTTAGCAAAAGTGTATGCATGTGTATGTAATTTCGCGTTTTACGAGCTTCATGTATATTTAAAATGATAATCCTTTGTGGGGGAGGTACCTGAAGAAGTCATCCTATATATTCCGTCGTTACACCAAACCTTGGGTTAATAAATGTGACGTGAATAATTTGAAGATAATTTGACTGACATTGTCCATTTTTGCACCTGTCGTAGCACTGATGGAAATATTGTATTTGCAAAGTTTGAGTAAAATCGGATTATTAATTTTATTTTCTTGAAATTTTCGACCTTTTGTAGGGGAAGTGCCAGAAGGAGTGCATCGATATTGCCCAACTCCGAACTTAATCTAAGTTTGATAATAATATTACGATGTACCAATTTTGAACCAAATCGGATAATCAATCAACCAAGTTCGAAGATGAGTTATATAGTTATGAGTCTTCGGAAGAATCCATATAATTTTATTTTCCGGTATTCGGTATTTTGACGATTTTACCCCATATTTGGTATTTTGACGATATTAGACACTCATTCGGATGGTATAGTTTCAAAATCAGTATTAAGAGTTTATAATGGGTTCTACCCCCCTATAGCAGTCTACTGTTGTCCTTAGCCACCATATAATTGGACCTCCCCATATTCGTTATTTAGATGATAAAATCATCACTTGAAGTTCATAATAAGTTCTGCCTACTGTGGCAGAAGATTGACCTCCTGATATTCGGAATTTTGATGCTTTTAGACCCATTTTCGTAATAGATTCCATTTCCTGTGACTTTGTCTATATAGGTCCACGTTTTCCCATAGCGCTTATATGGCGCTACAATCCCAATATTCGACATTTTGATCATTCTACCCTCAGTTTCTAACGTATTGGAAAAAAATTCAGTAGTTCCAGCTCATAAGGAATTCTACCTAGTGTGGCAGGACGATTGAAATTTTAATTGTATGTTTTTACAGACAGAAGTGATACTGATAGTATACTTCTCGAATACTGAAATTTTGACATTTACAGACATATGGTTTCAAAAGGTTTCAGTAATATTTTTTTTTTTTTTTTTCAAAAATTATATTTGACCTTCTTTTAAAGAATAGAGCCAATTGGGTCCATCAACAAAATTCCTACCGATTGATTTAAAAATTACAATAAAACAACTATTTTTTTAATTACTTTTTTTCTTTATTGGATTTCAAGGCTTTCAGCTAGCTAAACGAATTTTTTCGGAAAAGAAATTCTTCCCATTCCCAGCTTAGAAACGACGATGACGACGAATGACACGACGACGGTTGGTCTTGTAACGATAACCATCGGCCGATGAGAAGGAGTGAGCTGGAGCCGAAGCACCAGTGTCATAAGATTCGGAATAGGTAGCAGCTGGGGCAGAGTATGAAGCAGCTGGAGCAGCAGCGAAAGATGGAGCTGGAGCAGAAGCAGCTGGTGGCAAGTATTCACTGGATGGAGCAGAACCAGCACCTTGGAAGGGTGGCAAGTATTCGGTGCTTACATCACGGCGATGACGGCGACGATAGACGCGACGACGGTTGGTCTTGTATTTGTAACCTTCGGCGGAGGAGAAGGTGTGGGCAGGAGCAGAAGCACCGGTGTCATAAGATTCACTGTAGGTTGCGGCAGGGGCCGAGTAGGAGGTGACAGCTGGGGCAGAGTAGGAGGTGGCTGCTGGGGCGGAGTAGGAGGCGACTGCTGGGGCGGAGTAGGAGGCGACTGCTGGGGCGGAGTAGGAAGCGGCAGCAGCTGGAGCAGAGTAAGAAGCAACAGCTGGTGCAGAGTACGAAGCAGCGGGGGCAGAATACGAAGCAGCTGGAGCCGAGTATGACGCGGAAACAGCAGGAGCACTATAGGAAGCTACAGGAGCTGAGGCATGACCTTCATGAGGTGGCAAGTATTCGCTGCTCAAATGGCTGACATCAGCAGTTGCCACGGCCGCCAGGGCGCACAAAGCAATAAAGATTTCTAAAAAGAGACCACAAAAGTTAATTAATTTAATAGTCTAAGGGTGACTTTCAAAGCCCGCTCACTCGCGGTATTACTAACCATTGTTGGAACGTTTATCTCCTATCGCCGGAAGAATCCAAGAGAAAATGATACTTGTACTGGCCAAATTACCAGCCTTTTATAGTCACAACAAATTACCCGGGATTCGGGACATTTGCATAAATTCTGCATGCAGACAATCATAATTATTTATGGACTTTTATAATTTAAAACGCCCGACGGGTTTTCTGCTTTTTTTTGGTTGACGAAATCCAGTCTTGTGGGAGCTCAGCAACAAAGCCTTTTGCTCCTCTGCCCGCCCAGCAGGTTTGCCGCTACTTAAGCTAGAATAGCTTTAATAACATTAGAAACTGAAGCTGACGCTAAGGCTGAGACAAATGACCAGGGCAATTAATTTTGTTTTGTTTTGATTGGAGAAGCGTAAAAAGTACCACAAGAAAGGCAGAAGAAAAGATAAAGAAAAGAAATACGAATTTTTTTATATTTTGTTGGTTTTTACGTTTTATTGTGTGTTTCTCATAGTTTTCAAGTCAATGGATTTTGGCTAAAGAACTCGTCTGAGAATGTAAAGTCTTATCAAATAATGCTATGGATGTTCGCGCCCCCAGTAAAAATCTGGGGATATTTTTCAAGATCTGAAAAAGATGCTAGAATGATGTTCTTTAGTGGCGACGGTAGACAACGCGACGGTGGGTCTTGTAGCGGTAACCATCATCGGCCAATTCATGGGCGGGGGCAGCTTCTTGGGCAACAGCAGCAACCTGTTCAACGGGGGCTGGTTCGTAGACGGGGGCGGTTTCTTGTTGTTGGACAGGGGGCAAGTATTCGTTGGAGGGCAAGTGGCTGACATCACGACGGTTGCGGCGGTAGACAACGCGACGGTGGGTCTTGTAACGGTAACCATCGGCAGCTACTTCATGAGCGGGTTCAGCATCAGCTTGAACGGGGGGCAAGTATTCGTTGGTGGGAGCAGCAACGGGGGCGGCTTCTTGTTGGGGAGGCAAGTATTCGTTGGAGGGCAAGTGGCTGACATCACGACGGTTGCGGCGGTAGACCACACGACGGTGGGTCTTGTAACGGTAACCATCATCGGCCAATTCATGGGCGGGGGCAGCTTCTTGGGCAACAACAGACACTTGTTCTACGGGGGCAGGTTCGTAGACAGGGGCGGCTTCTTGTTGGACAGGGGGCAAGTATTCGTTGGAGGGCAAGTGGCTGACATCACGACGGTTGCGACGATAGACAACGCGACGGTGGGTCTTGTAACGGTAACCATCATCGGCCAATTCATGGGCGGGGCAGCTTCTTGGGCAACAACAGACACTTGTTCTACGGGGGCAGGTTCGTAGACAGGGGCGGCTTCTTGTTGGACAGGAGGCAAGTATTCGTTGGAAGGCAAGTGGCTGACATCACGACGATGACGACGGTAGACAACACGACGGTGGGTCTTGTAACGGTAACCATCGGCAGCTACTTCATGAGCGGGTTCAGCATCAGCTTGGACAGGGGGCAAGTATTCGTTGGTGGGAGCGGCAACGGGGGCGGCTTCTTGTTGGGGAGGCAAGTATTCGTTGGAGGGCAAGTGGCTGACATCACGACGGTTGCGACGGTAGACAACACGACGGTGAGTCTTGTAACGGTAACCATCATCGGCCAATTCATGGGCGGGGGCAGCTTCTTGGGCAACAACAGAAACTTGTTCTACGGGGGCTGGTTCGTAGACAGGGGCGGCTTCTTGTTGGACAGGGGGCAAGTATTCGTTGGAGGGCAAGTGGCTGACATCACGACGGTTGCGACGATAGACAACGCGACGGTGGGTCTTGTAACGGTAACCATCATCGGCCAATTCATGGGCGGGGGCAGCTTCTTGGGCAACAACAGACACTTGTTCTACGGGGGCAGGTTCGTAGACAGGGGCGGCTTCTTGTTGGACAGGAGGCAAGTATTCGTTGGAAGGCAAGTGGCTGACATCACGACGATGACGACGGTAGACAACACGACGGTGGGTCTTGTAACGGTAACCATCATCGGCCAATTCGTGAGCGGGGGCGGCTTCAACAACTGGGACCTCTTGTTGTTGTTGTTGAACAGGGGGCAAGTATTCGTTGCTGGGCTGAGGGGCTACAGGGGCAACAGGGGCCACAGAAACTTGCTGGGGTGGCAAGTATTCGTTGGAGGGCAAATGGCTGACGTCAGCAGCGACAGCTGCAATCACAGCAAAGGCAATGAGGAACAATTTCTATAACGAAATCAAAAAAAGGACACGACCACGTTAGCAAACCTCTAGGCATATAATCCAGGCCAAAAAAAAAGCAAAACCTACCATTTTTGTTTCTTTTTCTTTTCTCTTTTCCTTAGTAATCCGAACTTACTAATCCACTGACTTTACACACTGCAGGCAGAACTAGCTATGCTTACAGTAGTAACTCTAAGAGTAGAATGTTGTAGTCACAGAACTATTTCTTACTATTTATACACAAATCGGAGTAAAACTGAGAGCTTCTGAGCATCGCCAATCGAACCAAAGTTTGGTAATTTGTAATTCTTATTTGCGGATCGAAAAAACAAAAGATGGGCAAAAACGCACACACACGCACACACATGTGAGAATAGATAGTTGGCTCTTCGCATGGAAACTATTGTGTAGAGTAGTCGGTGGATAGATCGGCCATAGACAGAATTGCCAAAAAAACGTAAAAAAAAAAACAAAACAAACAACAATATTGGTAACATCCAAACAAAGATTTATACCGCCAACCGAAAGATCAGCAAAGATACGCACTCACACACACACACGCATATGCTCAAGAGCTCAGGCCAAGCTAGACGGCGGCGTCAACATCAGCTGGCTGTAAAAGTTCGCATCACCAGCCACAAAAAGAAGGGTTAAAAGAAAGAAAATAGAAATCTAATGAAGGCAAGAACAAAAAAACAAAAAAAAAAACACAACATCATCGCCTCTAGAACCATAATAATGATCATCATCATATGGCGATGATGATGATGTTGTAGTTGGGCAAAAATCATTTAAGATGTATTATATCTTTTGGGAACACACACCAAAAAATAAAAAAAAAATACTATAATTTGGTTAATCTTTGAAATTGTTGTAGCTATATTTAGAGGGCGATAATTGATTCGATTGTATCGTTTTTTCTATTAATTTATTCACTTTTAATTGGTTTGATTTTAGAGCCATTGGATGATTCAAATTTGCCAGCCAGATTGGGCCTCTGTAAAATTTAGTTTTATGATCAATATTCATTTGTAACAAATCGATCGATGTTGTTTGGTGTGGCTGCTGCTGCTGATGAAGATTGTCTTCCTCATGTTGCAGAAATAAATTGAAAAAATTATTTTTATTTCATGTGGTGCACAGTGGTTTTCTATTATTGCAAAGGATTAAAAACATAATAATAAAAATTTGAATTAAAATTTGCGAAATTTCCCAAAATAAAAAAAAATGGATGATAAAAGAAATTTGAAAACAATGCCGTTGGAAACAAAGAAACTGATAGAACTTAATAATAATAAATTAAAAAAAAAAAGAAAAAAATGGGACCAATCTCATAAATATGGATTAAATAATTTATTTAGATTCAAAAAAAAAAAAAAAAATCAGAGATTAAAAAAATCTAAAACGTGTGACCTGATTACAAAATTCTGAAACAACATGTAATGTAAACTTGTAAAAATATTGAAATCTTGAAAAAATTCAATATTTCAAAAGGGGAACAAAGTGTTAACTGGTTCAAAGTCGTTGATGACTTCATTTTAAAGGCAGACAGTGTATTTCTTCTCCTACACCAAGGAAATGTACTTCTTGCGCACCGAAAATTGTCAAAAAAATATGGGATGAGAAAACTGTAATTTTAGCGCATTTCGAAGAATTGTAGGATAAAAGCAGAAATACAGGGAAATAAATGATTTAAAATTTTGGATTTGAAAAATTATTTGTCTGTGGATTTTTCAAAATATTTTTTAAACTTTCAATCGCTTATTTTACAAATATTTCTTTTCCGCTATATGTGGATATTTAAAACATTGTTTTTCGGGATACCGTGGTATTTATACCCTACAACATTATGTGTTGGGGGTATTATAAGTTTGATTGGCCCAAAAATTATGTAACACCTCGAAATATTGGTTTCTCACATAGGAAAGTATATATGGATCATCCTATCTCGCCGAGCTGAGTCGATCTAGCTATGTATGTCCGTCCGGAATGGAGGTCGGGGTCGGGCCAGAATAGAACCCTATTTCTTTTTGAGATGATCGCCAAATGTTTAGGGGTTGAAATGGACCAAATACTGAAAAAATGTCGGATTTTGCAGTAGCTATACAGGTCGCAATTATAGACCAATCGGAATTTCGCATGTAGCTAGAGTTTAGGGCGGGGAAGAAGCCTACCAATTTGGGTGGTCATCGGATAATATTAGCGGGTAAAACCATATATTTTGTGTCGAAAAAATTCAAAATTTTTCATTAAACCGCGAATATTTTAAATCCCGGCGAAATCACAAAGCCATGAAAAGGTTACTTCTGACCTTTACATTTATGTTAACATCCAAGAAATCGGATATGTAGGAAAATATGTGCGATATATATGTCTATCAAAGAAGATATGCTTGAAAAATCTCTTATATGTCGAGAACGGCTGAACTGATTTCGACAGTTCTCATTAATTCAGAATGGCCTCTTGGCAGGAAAGAAAAAACGTCTAAAAAAAGCATAAAAATATCTCTCTAAAGATGAAAATATTGATTTTGTAAAATTTTCTCATATTTTTTTCAATTTTGTCATATTTTTGGAATATTTTCATTTTGAATTAAACATTTGGTAATATTTCTACAGCAAACAAAACTAAGTAGTTAGGATATCAGGATATCATATACAGATCGCATTTATGGCCCGATCCTTACGAAATTTTGCATGGGGATTAAATGAGGGTCAGAATAGAAGCCTACTCTTTTTGGATGATCGCCATATATTTAGGGGTTGAAATAGAAAAAACTGCAAAATTGTCGGCAGGTCGTAATTATCGCCCGATCCTCACGCACATTTGAAAGGGGGTTACCGGACATTGCAAAAGCCAAGCAGTTTTGGATGGCCATCCAAAATATTCAATGTGTGAAGGAGTTTGCCAACTTTTGTAGACAAAATACGAAAATGTCTATTCCAGTGACTTTTCGGAGAATTCACAAATACAGGAAAGACGCACTTCTGACTATTTTTTTAACGCTGATTTCGTTGAAGAATGTAGTCAAATGTATGTATCTCATATAGATGCGTTTCTGTCAAAAACCAATAATAAATGTTAATCTTTTGCCACTTCTGAGAGATTATAGGTCTTTGGGAAATATTGGTTCTAGATCTAGGAAGACCATTTAAGAGCAACTTCTACCAATAAATTGGAAATTAGTTTAAGTTGCTTTTATTCGAAAATTAGAGAACGAAACCTGATGGTTTTCTTTTATTATTTGTCACAATATCTTGTGGAATTCTTTCGAGTATCTTGTCTATATAAACTGTATCGTTTATTATAGTGTTGTAGGGTATTTGCTTACTTGTTTAAAATATTTTTTTTTTTTTACTTTTTACCAAGCCTTTCTGGTTAATTCCCAGACAAAAAAACAAGGGAACTGATGAGGATTGGTGGCTCTTTCCGAAACCTAGGTATTCCCTGCCTTACCCCCTGGTAAATATTACCATCGTTCTCCACTAATAAACAAACGTAGTTTTTATAAAAACAACAATAAAGGGATTAATCCTGACCATTTTGCAACAACAAAATACTATGATATCCCGAACAAACAAGCCAACACTGTTCAATTGTATTTTTTTTTTATATTTTTGGTTAGAAAATATTTGATTTTTAAAATTATCTGTCAATTTTTAAAAATAATTTTTTCCTGCTATATATGTAAATCAAACATTTATAATTATTGTTTTCTGAATTTTATTGCTATATATAAATACTATATTTTTAAAAGTATTTTTTTTTCCTGCAATATATAAATTTTAGATTTAAAAAAAAATGTTCCTGCTACATATATTTTTTGGGGATTTTTAAAAACATTTTTTCTGCTATATACAAATTGTGGATTTTATATAAATAATGGATTCTTTTGAAATATTTTTTTCCTGCTAGATCGTGACTTTTAAAAAATAATTTTTCCAGCAATATATAATTTGTGGCTATTTTAAAATAATTTTTTCTTGCTATCTATAAATTGTGTATTTTTTAAAAATAATTCTTTCTTGCTATATATAAATTATGAATTTTTGAAAAAAAATTTGCATATTTTTAAAACTACTTCTGCTATATATAAGTCGTGGATTTTAAAAAGAAAAATATTTCCTTCTATATAAAATTTGGGGGTTTGTAAGAATTATTTTTCCTATATTTATAAGTTGTGATTTTTTTGTGCTATATATAAATGGTGGACTTTTTAAAATAATTTTTTCGTGCTATATATAAATGGTGGATTTTTTTAAATATTTTTTTCTGCTATACATAAGTAGTGGATTTTTTAAAAATATTTTTTTCCTGCTATAAATAAGTGGTGAATTTTTTTAATATTTTTTCTGCTATATATAAATCGTGAATTAAAAAACCTGCTATATATAAGTCGTTAACTTTTAAAAATATTTTTTTTTCTGCTATATATAAACCGTAGAATCGTAGATATAAAAATAATTTTTTCCTCCTATATATAAAGTGGGGATTTAAAAAAAATATTTTTTCCTGTGATGTAAAAAAATCTGGGTTTTGGTACGTTTTTTAAAATATTTTTTCTGACTTGAGATCTCGAATTTATTCAATTTCAATTGGATTTCTAATTTTTTTTTGTAATGCTCATTCATCGTAGATTTTAAAAATATTTATTCTGCTTTATATTAATTTTGGATTCTTTAACATATTTTATTTATTTAAATATTTCTCAATTTTAAAATATATTTATTTGGCTACATATAAATAGTAAATTTTTATAAAAATTCGTTAATAAAAAAATGTCCAGGTCAAGAAATCTGATCGATTTTTACATTATTTTTCTGGGAATAAAAGTGTGCATGAATGAATGTAGGGCCCCATGCACCCCCTTTGTTGTGAGAGTAGATCTGTGTTGGGCTATATAGATCATCTGTAAAATTAATTTAAAAATGATAAAAAATTGCAAATAGTTGTCAATATTTGTTGTATATTTTTACCAAGTAAATAAAACAAATGAAGAATGA